GGTGGGTACATTTCCCTGGCTTGGTCTGGGCTGTTCCCTATTGTGGTTCCTGCACTCATCTTCAGGAACTATGTCCCAACAGAGGAGTTTCCCAAGCTTCTCTATCAGAACCTCTCCCAGTGCCCGATCTCATACCCATTGGTGGGGCCATGGGCCAGCCCTACTTAGTCTACCTCCTGTCCTAGCCGGAACAGTGACCTTTCCTGACAGGCCTTCAACCCATTCCGGCCTTTATTGTTGGGTGTTCCAGCCCAGGCAAGCCTGATCCACACCCAGACACAGCTCACACCTGGCTCAGCAGCAGCAAAGACCTATCCTATCCTAGCCTAGCCTGTTTGACACCTACCCTGCTTCTCATGAGCACTAGTGGGTAATGGAGTCTAGCCCAGTCCAGCACATCCCAGACCCAGTGCACACTTGTGCTGAGGGACACTGCAGCCAAATCCAGACCTGAACACAGTGGGAACCACAACCCAGTTGGGGCTTGCCCTCAGCTCCCCTATTCCCAGCTATAGATCCTGTGTGTGCTGGTGGTTGCTCTGACCCTGCTTGGCATAGTCCCTCACCTGTCATGACCTTTGCCTTTGGATGCTATAGCCTGGCCTGGCCTGCCCCTAGTCCACATCTTGCTGGCGGGTGCTGCAACCTGGTCCTGCTCAGTCTGTTCCTATCCCTGGCTTAGGCAAACCAGTGTGATAACCTAGTCCGCATGACCTGCACTCCAGCCAGGTTTCTGCACTGGCTGGTGCGCTAAGGTTTGCTCAGCTCTGCTCAGTCCATCCCCTTCCAAAACCACCTCACGCTTTAGGCAACAGTTGGAGCTACCTTGCCCAGCCTGCCCAACCCCCAGGCCTGAACTATGCTCACCAGCAGGAGCTATGACTCATTAGGGGAGTTTCCAAAGTTCCCCCACCTGAGCTACTCCCAGACCCAGATCTCAGGCATGCCAGTGGGTATTAGGTCAGTGTCCAGCATAGTCTGTCCCTCCATCCTGGCCTTGTATTAGCTGGTGAATGTTGTGGCCCAGCCCACCACTCACGCTGTGTTAGGATGTACATGCGGTGCTGCAGCCTGGATCTGTTCGGACTATTCTCAGTCCCTGTACCTGTGAGTGTTGGCAGGTTCCATGGTCAAACCTAGTTCAGCCCATCCCCACCCCAACTCTTAAGCTAATCAGCAGGACTTGTATTTCCACAGGACTGGGCTCACATATCCCCCACAGAATCTACCCCAAACCTGGTTCTCTCGCGTGCTGATTGGTGTCAGGGACCTGTCTAATGTGACCTGTCCCCTGTTCCGACATTCTGTCAGGTATTTGGATCTAGCCCTGCTAGACAGGTTCCCAGCCCTAGCTTTTGCATGGGCTGGTGTGTGGTGACTAGGAATGTTCCATGCTAACAAGCCCTACTCAGGACTCTAATGTGGGCTGGTGAAGCAGTCTGACCCATACAGATCTTCTGGTTTCTGCCCTCCAAATCACCAGGTCTCAGTCCCCTTTGCTGACTTGCAAGTACAGTGGTCCTATAGTTGAGAGTCCCTCAAAATTCATTCCTCACTTACACGCAGTGGCCTTATCCATGGATGTCCCTAGGCAGTAATTACACACCCCAAGACCCCAGAGCTCACCACCTGGCAGCCAGCGGGCAGAGCCTGGCACTGGTTGGTGATCTGGCCACCCCCAAGCCACTGACCCGAACTACTGAGAGATCCCTTCACAGCACACTAACTGCGAAGGCAGAAAACTCTCAGGCCTAGGCAAGCCCAGGACCCGCTTACTGCTTGGCAGTGGTGGCTGCGGCTAGGGCCCCAAGCATTGAGTTCGATCTGGCTGAGGTACCTCTAACAGCCCCCATGCTGCTGGGAGCTCTTTCACCCACAAGCCCAAAGGTGGAACTCCCAATAATTTTTTAAAAAAGGTTTATTTATCTTATTTGAAAGGATTACAGAGTGTGTGAGGGGAAATAGAGATCTTTCACCTGCTGGTTCACTACCCAAATGGCTTTGACAGCCAGAGCTGAGTGGGTCCAAAGCCAGGAGCCAGGAACTTCTTCGGATTTCCAAAGTGGCTGCAGGGGCCAAAGCCCTTGAGCCATCCTCTACTGCCTTCCCAGGTAAATTAGCAGGATTGGAAGCTGCACTGGTAGAAGAGAAGCTGGTACAGGAAGTGGTGCACATATGAGTTACAGGCAAAGCAGGCAGTAGCTTTATCCACTGTGCTACAGCACTGGTCCTAATAAATCTCTTCTGTATTTATTTATTGAAAAAATGTAATATGGATTGCAGAGTTGAAAGGGTTGCATACTCATGTGGGTAGGTTGATGTGTTGAGGAAGGTGTGTGAGATACATGTTTCAGGCTTTTGTTCCTTTGTCTGCAGGTGGGGGAGTGGAGGAGTCTTTCTTAAACATCAGTAGTGAGGTGAAACGGGCTCCACTGTCCTTCAAGGGTGAACTCAGTGAATGCACCCACCTTTAACGCCCCCTGCAACTGCTGGCTGCCAAATCCGAAGGGGGCGCCCAGGCTCCTGCAGAAAGAGGCATGTAGCAGCTGATGTACCGTATAGGAAGGCATGAAAGGCGTGTGTGTTGGACCCAATGCGATAACCTGGCAGTTAAAGTCGTTGCCTTGAATGTGCCAGGATCTCAGATGGTCACAGGTTCTAATCCCGGCAGCCCCGCTTCCCATCCAGCTCCCTGCCTGTGGCCTGGGAAAGCAGTTGAGGACGGCCCAAAGCCTTGGGACCCTGCACCTGCATGGGAGACCCGGAAGAGGCTCCTGGCTTCGGATTGGCCCAGCTCTGGAATTGTAGCTGCTTGGGAAGTGAATCATCGGATGGAAGACTTTCCTCTCTGTCTCTCCTCCTCTCAGTATATCTGCCTTTCCAATAAAAATAACTATATCTTAAAAAAAAAAAAAAGGTGTGCATGTTTGGTGTGGCCACAGGATGACTGCATTGCTTTGCAATGTCTGGGTTCTGAATCTCAGCTCTGTTTGATTTCCCCTTCCTGTGAAAGCACAGCCTAGAAGACAGCAGGTCCTGGCTCACAGAGGTCTGTCCCTGCAGCCCATAAAGGAGACTTTGCATTGAGTCCCAGTCTTCTTTTTTTTTTTTTTTAAAGATTTTATTTTTTTATTATTTTTTCATTGGAAAGGTGGATATACAGAGCGGAGAGACAGAGAGAAAGATCTTCCGTCCGATGATTCACTCCCCAAGTGAGCGCAACGGGCCGATACTATGCCGGTCCGAAGCCAGGAGCCTCTTCCGGGTCTCCCACACGGGTGCAGGTTCCCAAAGCGTTGGGCCGTCCTCGACTGCTTTCCCAGGCCACAGGCAGGGAGCTGGATGGGAAGCGGGGCTGCCGGGATTAGAACCGGCGCCCATATGGGATCCCGGGCGTGCAAGGCGAGGACCTTTAACCACTTGCGCCACCGCGCCGGGCCCGAGTCATCCTCGACTGCTTTCCCAGGCCACAGGCAGGGAGCTGGATGGGAAGCGGGGCTGCCGGGATTAGAACCGGCGCCCATATGGGATCCCGGGCGTGCAAGGCGAGGACCTTTAACCACTTGCGCCACCGCGCCGGGCCCGAGTCCCAGTCTTCTTGTGCCTTTGGTCTGGCCCAGCCCTGGCTCCTGGGACCTTCAGGGAGTCAATCAGCACACAGCACATCATTGCCTCTCTCCAATGACTATTGTTTACAAATGGTATTCAGGCTTTCCTGACAGTGAATTAGACACATGTGCTGGCACAAGGGTGACTTTTTAAATGCCCCTTTTCCATCTACTTGAAAGGCAGAGAAAGAGCAAATGAGCCACAGTTTTTCAGTTTTTCAATATTCCAAGCTACTGTTTTACTCACTAAATGCTACCATAGAACCATCCAGGTCTTCCATTTGGATGGCAGGAATCGCAGGACTTGAGCCAGGCTGTGTTAGAAGCAAGCTGGCAGGGAAGTGGAGTAGCCAGGACTCTCCAGCACACCCGACTTTGGGAGTGAATGTCCCAAGCTGCTGTGACAACCCCCTCCAACACACCCCAAAACACAAGGAAACAGGTGATGTCTACCTGCATGTGGTAGAGGCCTCCTAGGAAGACTTCAGAGTGAATGATGGAGGATGACAGCTTTCCATTGAGATTTGCCCACACAAACACTCACGTTGTTCATGCTGCCCTGTAAGACTTTTCATTGATTTCCCAAAGCCCAGGAGTAAAGATGGTGGGAACAAACTGGATGTCCCCAGGGCTCGTCATTTCTCAGCATCAGAGAGGATCTGAACATCTACTTCTCCATCCACAGTGAAACAAAACCTAGAGAAACCTATGAAAAGCCCAGATACAGAGGAGTCCCCCACTTGAATGTGTGTGCGCGCACACACACAACCCTTGCTCTCCATCTAGTCAAATGAGTACGTGATGGGAGGAGTCCCCTCTGAGTCCACGAAGAGGAAGCAGCTGAGTTCAAGATGGCTGGGAGACTGCAACAGCACTGCCAACTGTCCCTGGCGAGGGCTGTGCTCCAGCCACATCTAAGGTTGGGGTGGAAACCGGGAGAGCCAAGCAAGCATCAAGAGATGTCTCCCTAACCCCCCAGGATGCTTGGCCAGGGGCACTGGGATGGCTCCAGCAAGCACTGGGCTCCAGTCACCAGTATCTCTAAAATATACTTATTTTTATTAGAAAGACAGATCAGATTTAGGAGAGAAGGAAAGACAGAGAGATCTTCCACCCACTGGTTTACTCCGTAAGTGGCAACAATGGCCAGAGGTGAGCTGATCCAAAGCCAGGAGCTTCTTCTGTTTCCCACACGGGTGTGGGTAGTGAAGACTTTGGGCCATCCTCTGCTGCTTTTCCAGGTCCTAAGCAAGGAGCTGCATGGGAAGTAGAACAGCCAGGACACGAACCAGAGCCCATACGGGATCCCAGTGTTTACAAGGTGAGGATTTAGCCATCGTGTCATTGCACAGGGCACCACCAGGATCTTTGAAAGGCATTAGCAGCGACACCTTTAGCACATAACAGTTTATTAAGTTTAAGCACAAAGACCTTTTGGTTTCAGTTTGTTTTAGATATGATATTTTCAGTAAGGTTAAGGTACAAATATAACAAAACATATAACCCAGTAAAACACACATTCAGAAACATTGCCTGGTTCTCACTTTACATCCCATTCATGTCATGACTATGTTCTAAGCACCTTCTATGAGAGGTGGCAGGTGGTGCTGGGGACTTAGTGCAGAGTGAAATCCAACTCCTGCTCCCATGCTGCACCTGTTCCAGTGGGAAGACACCACACACACACACAACACTCGCTCAGAGGTCAGTGATCCCAGGGTTAGAATTGGAGGGTATGGGTTTTATATAACATTTAGAATATTATTTTTGAAAGATGTAGTCCTTATTAACTGGAAAGTGAGAGATACAGAAACAAAAGGACAAGACAGAGAAGAGGGGTATCTTCCAACTGCTGGTTCACTCCCTGGAAGGCACCAACAGTGAGCACTGGGTCAGGCCAAATCCAAGAGCCAGGAACTTCAATCCAGTTTTCCATGAGGGTGCAGCAGCCCAAACACTTGGGCAATCTGCTGCTGCTTCTCTCAGGCCACTTTCAGGAAGCCAGCCTGGAAGTGGAGCACACGAGTCTCAAATCGGCACCAAAATGGGATGCTGGTGCCACAGGTAGCAACTTTACTTGCTGTGCCAGTTTCAGTCCCTAGTCCCTAAGCAGTATTTTGGAAATTTTAATTAGAATCCACATGAATATCCAAGGAATACTCAGGGCTCAGGCCCAGATCATGGGCTGCCCTGTGTAGGTTATTGAATGTATGCCTCTGTTTACAGGCCCACATTCACACACACAATGACACACAGTAGTTACACATCATGCTAACAATTAATGTAACATTTCTGTCTTGAATTATACAAGTCTTTCACAGATATCCTTAGAGGACAGCCAGCATTGCGAAGGGGTACAATACTCGCATTACGGAGACAGTTTATTGGATGCCTCCAAGTGTGTGGTATTTCTAAGTAAACGCGACTGTTCACAGAGACCATCCATCTCCCCTCCTACCCTGTCCCCTCCAACCAAGCCTCTGCCTCTAAGCAGGTGACAGGGAGCGCCTCCTGTGGGCTGGGATGGAGTTTCCTAGGCACACCTTAAGAGATGGGGCCAGAACAAAATTTCTGATGCTACTTGGGATCTAGTCCTGGTAGAACCCAGATGGTTGTCGTGTCCTGGCACATCCTGGGGCCTAGCAGCTGCCTCAGAGTCTCTTCTCCATCTGCACACCCTGTAAAGGCATGCGTGCTTCCTGGAATCCCCATCTGGGATGGGTTTTCCCCTGTGGGAATGCGGGGCCAGAAATGCTGGCTGCGATCACTGAATCAGTGCAGTGATGTTGACAGGGTCAGGATGTGGCCCTGTCTCCCCTGCCTGAATGGTCAGGGCAGCCTGGAGAATGGGCCTGTCTATGGAGAGGAGAGCTGGGAGCCAGCGCGGGTCCTGGAAGAGGCTGGGCTTCAAGGCCATGAACGTGTATATCCATGTATAACCCAGTTCAAGGAAGCCCGGGTGTCTCGGAAGGCATCCTATAGTTGGAAACTGAGGTTTTTCTTCTTGGATACACCTGCTCACCCTGCCCCAAGTCCCCCATACGTGAAGAACTCTGAGGGGCTGGCCGTGGCACTCATGGTGCACAGGTGAGGCTCTGGGCTAAACACAGGGGCTGAACCCTGAAGCTGCCGATACACACCCTTCTTCTGTCTTTTCCATCATTACCTGCTGCTTTCCTCTGCAGGTCCTCCTCTTCTTATGCTTTGCCACTACTGCCATTTTGGTGCCAGGACTCCTTGTGCACCCAGTGATGGACCTGTAACCAACAACTCTAACAGCCACTGCTCTAGTTAGACAGTCCTTTCTCCAGAATGTCAACGGTTATCAACTCCACTCCCGAGTTGCTGTGCAGTGAAATCAGGCATCAGGAAGTTTAAATGCATAGCTTGAAGATGACCTGGTTTTAATCTCATACGAGGAGAAGTATCTACGGGCAGGGGTCAATGTTCTCAGGATACAGGGGTGGCATTTCCTCAGATTTAAGCATTGCCCTTCTGCCGAACATTTTGCTACTCTTCATGGCGAGTGACATTGTGAAGCACAGAGTGACAATGGTGTTTGAAACCTCTGCATAAATCCCTAATGGGCCTATCTTGGTGGTAAACAATCATGATGCACTGTCTCCAGAAATGCAGAACCAAGTAGCACGCTGGGATTGGGACACAAATGCCTGCAGCTGCTGGGGCGGGGCTCGGGATACGTGTGGCTCCCTTCTGCAGCTGAAATCTTCAAAGTCACGGCCAACACAGCTTTTCCAGTTTTTATACGTGGACAGGAACATAGAAAGCCTTCCCTGGTTCCTGCTGTTCCCTCTTTAGCAGGCAAAGTGCTTTGACGTGCTCAGAGGACTTTGGAGACGTGTTTTCCCCTTCCCCAGGAAGCGAGTTCCCTTCTGCGTGGTTCCAGAGTGGAGCGAGGAGCTCAGACTAGCTGGGGAACACTCCACATTCAGTGTTGCAGATGGCACTTCTCTGCTCAGCCGCTTTCCAGGTGTAGAGAGTCCGTGCTTGTTTTACTTCTGCTTTCATCTTCGTTGGAATAGTTGCCCGAATCTTGACTCGTCTGGCAACTGTACTTGAGATCTTCGTTGGTGTTGTTGATGCCTTCCTCTCTAGGGATCACAGTTGCGCCTTCAATCACGAAACACTGTTCCGTTTTCTCCTCAGAAGGTGAAAGCAGGATATTCTCTAAATATTGTTCGGAGAGACACTAATTTACCAAAAAAGGGGAAGAAGAGAAACGGATGGTTTAAAATGATGGAAATACTCTTAGGGTTCTGATGGCTTTAATTTCTTATGCCTGCTTCCTGGCATGTGATTAAAACGTCAAGCGAGGCCCCACCAAATGCATCACGACACTGCCACCTGTCACCAGCAAGGGCATTATAGCTTAACCAGGGAAGGATGAATACTAGTTGTGGAAATTTCAGTTAGCAACAGAAAAAAACAATTAAGTGTCCTCAGAAGAACTGTGTATTGAGAAGCAGCACACATGAGGAAGGACATTTTCCTGGTCCAATTAGGAATCATCAGTGACTGTCATGACCCGGTCTTATGTCTCTTTTAATAATGGCTTTGGGAACTAGTGCCGTGTAGTATTCTGTTGTGGTGCTGGCATTCCATATGCCAGCTGCTCTGCTTCTGGTCCAGCTCTCTGCCAGTGGCCTGGTATGGCAGCCGACAATGACTCAGGTCCTTGGGACCCTGCATCCACTGGGAAGACCCGGAGGGAGCTCCTGGCTTTGGATCAGCTCAGTTCTGGCTGTTGTGAACACTTGGGGCGTGTACTAATAGATGGGAGCTCTTTATTTCTCATGTAACTCTACCTTTTAAATAAAAATAAGAGAAATCTTAAAAAAAAAAAAAAGAGAGAAAGTCTTAAAAAAAATAATGGTTCTGAGCATAAGGCAGGTAGAGCAGTACGGGAGTGTAGAACAGCTCCTGTTCCCTGAGCAGCCAGAGCGCTGGTGGCCTGGTGTGTCTCCTGCGTTCCTCCCCCACAGGAGGCTGCCTCAGCGGGTCTGTTCCCAGCCCTGCGGGGCCTGCCTGCATGCCGGGAAGGGCTCTGTGCACAGCTGCCCAGCCGCAGTGTACACTAGGCTGCAGCCCTCGGACCCTCACCAATGCCCAGGCTGGGACCCTCTGAATGAGGCAAGCTGGAAACCCGTCCAGGTCACCTGGCACCCCAATTGCACCGTGTGCCAAAGAGAAACTGATGGGAAATGATGTGTCTAGCTCAACTTGTGACCTCCTCCTCTGCAAAATGCACTTTATACAGTGACAGAACTTTTTTCTTGTTGTTGTTATGTGGTGAAAAAAACAGATACTTTCTGTTTTCTGGTAAAACATGCGCCACAGTAACCAAACTGCCAGGAAAATACAAAACTAATGGCAAACTTTACTATTCTGTGCTATGTTATCATGGTCAATAATACAAATACGAGATTCACATTAGCAGCACTATCAATAAATGAAACTGTATGTACCCAAGGTTAATGTATGGAATCTAAAAAAAATACACAATCAGTTTGATCTTTTTCCTTGATTCTAAGATAACTTAAATAATCTGTCGAAGTCCAACAGATGTGTTTGTTCATTTCCTAGCTTGACAAAGCAAAGGCACCTACTTCAGCTATGCTGGAAGGCGGCTTTGGGGACGGGAAGAACACAGAGCAGAGGGACTTCAGGAGGCGCTTGGCGACCAATGTGACAACCAGGAGAACAGGGAGGACGGCGCAGACTGCTGTGACCAGCAGCAAGGTTCTGGACATATCTCCTGAAATACACAAACGGCACTCAGCATCAGTGCTGCTGGGGACACGCTTGTGCTGCCAGCTGAAGCTAGAGACCCGTCACAGAGAGGACACACTGCAACCTGCACACTCACACCCTGAATCGCCTGTCTGTGGCACTGAGGACATGGCAACTACAGGCAGCCTGCTCCACGTGTCAAGGCTTCCCTGCGAGCTGAAGAGCAGAGGACTGCACAGCTGACAGGCCAGAACAGTAAAGCACTTCTGCAACACACACACACACACACACACACACACACACACACACACACACACACTGAGCTCCCCTTCCTGGCTCGAGCCTGTGCTAGCCAACACTGGAAACTGTACACGTGGAGACTATACCGTTTCTCCATGCAAAACAAATTCACACTTGGGCAGGTGTTTGGCCTCCTCGCTCAGGCACCTGCACTCCACACTGGAGGAACAGGCTATGCTGCTCAGTTCCAGCCTCTTGACAGTGCAGGTCCTGGGGGGCAGTGATGATGACTTCAATGACCACGGCCCAGCCCACCCCTCTGGGAAACCTAGACGGAGAGCCTAGCTTCTGGCTCCAGTCCTGGCTGTTGCAGGCACCTGGGGACTAAACCAATAGACGGGTGTTCTCTCTTTTTCACTCTCATCTTTGCAGGAACTAAATATTAAAAAATAAATTGACGGCAGTGGTGGAGGGGTAGGATTGGCGGCATATCAGGCTAAGACTCTGCCTGTAGCTTTGGCATCCCATTTGGGGACTGATTTGTGGTCCAGCGGCTCCACTTCTAATCCAGCTCCTTGCTAATGGCCTGGGAAAGCAGGAGAATCCAGCACAAGTTCTTGGGTCCCCGCACCCATGCAGAAGACCTGGAAGAAGCTCCTGGTTCTGGACTGGCCCAGCTCTGGCAGCTGCGGCCACTGGGGGAGTGAACCAGCAGATAGATACAAGATCTCTCTTTGTCTCTCCTTCTTTGTAATTCTGCCTTCCCAATAAAAATTCACAACTGAACTACGTGATTTGCACATAATAATTGAGGACTGTATAAAAACATTTTGCTGAACTGACAGTTTTATTAAATGTCAAGGAGCAGTAATCAAAGAATTATGTAGATATTGGATGAACTAGAAAGCATCCAAAAGTACTGCACATTAAAATAGTTTCTAAAAGGGGAAAGAACTGGCTTGAAAGTCAGTTTTTCATTCACACAGTTTATGACATGAGTATTACAGAAGGGACTGTTTTACAATTTTCAGTGTACTGAGTAATGTTGAGTATCTATATAGAGATAAAGGATTCTGACCTGGTTTTATTTTCTCACATATAATATCACTAAAATCACTGCTTTGATTGGGCTCTTCACGCATGAGTGCTCTGGCTTTGAAACAATATAGGGTCAGTGGTTTCAAGTCAGGAAAAGTAAAATCATTGCCTTCTTGTCGAATTTTTCTCTGTAAAAAAACAAATCATGGATAATGTTTAGTCACTTCATGCAATCAGCGAAGGGTATGGATACATATTTTCTGAATTCTTTCATGTTCATTCTAGTATTAGCCTCTCGCATATATTTGGTCTTTGTTTAGGAAACAAAGTAGTTTCACACAGCTCATTGTAAGTAAATCATATAAAGTGAAAAATGTTTGTTGTGACAAAGTGTATGCTAGAACAGGACAATGTTATCTTTAGAGTACAAGCTGGTTTGGTTTAAGTGGTATGGTTATTATTTATAGTGGCTTAGGATTCCAACTGTCTTTAAGCGGATACTTTGGAACAAAATGTAGCCACAGATCCTGTGGTCTTGTCATGTGCTTGTGAGCATCCTTGTCTTGCATTCACTAGTTCATCCCTTTTTTCTTTATTACCCTAATGAAGAGACATTTTTCTCCCCAGTCGCTCTCCTACTGTGTGATGGGATGCTAAGGAGCGGGACTTGGTTGGCCAAAGCTGAACTTTGTTGGCACATGGATAGTTAAGAATTTTTCTGCCTTGCAAGTCAGGCTCTGTGCCCTTGGAGGTGCTGCCAGGGACACGTTACAGTGCCTGCAGATGGTGGTTTTGGGTACGACAACTGGGAGGGAGTGCAGAGGCCAGCAGTGTGGCTAAGTGTCCTACAGTCCAGCTATGCACGGGAAGGCTGTACCACAGCAGTGGTCTGTCTCAAAACTCAACAGGGTTGAGAAATCCTGAGAATTAAGTTTAAAAAAGGAGCAAATCTCTGAATCCTAGTCCCAGAGACTGATTCTGTAGTGCTGGACTCGGGTGGGTCCTTGAGGCAGATTGACCCACAACTCCACCAAGTAAGACAGGAGTCAGTGGGGGTATGGGAGTGGCAAACATTCCTCACAAACAGCAGGGCTCATCAAAGTGCTCAAGTTGAGAGGTTTCTCTCAAATGTTAAATTCAAGCTATGTCCCTGCAAGTCAGTCACAACCCCAAGTTACAACCTTATAGAGTCATTTTACCTCAGTACTTGAAGTGTTTTCCCAGTAAATGATTTCATAGATGAGTGAGCCATGCAGGTCTGTAGATTCCTGTGAGGGTCCAACATAGGCGTGCAGTGCGTCACCCATGGTTTTCACATTGAGAACTGGAGGAGGGATGGTAGCTGGGGACAAATTCAGAGACATGACGTAGCATTAGATGCTTTGAAGAACTTGCTCTGAGGTGGAGAATTATCATGCCAAGTCACAACTATCATTCTTACTTTGTTTTTGACTCTCAAACTCCTTCTCTTTTGACCAAAGGGATGTGTTATTTCCATCCATTGCACGTACACGGAGTGAATAAATAATTCTTTGTGGAAGAACTTCCTGAGGAAAGACACACTGGGTTCCTCTGACATTTTCACAGCCAGGAATTTGTTTCCATTCCCCTGATTGGTCCTCAGGAGACCATTTTAAATAGGCACTTTTAAGAGAAAAAAAGTTTCAAAAGTTGAAACAGATGAATGAAGTAATGTTTACTGAGTTCTTACAATCTGCCAGGCACTGTTAGGAGCTAAGGTCATAGAGAAGCTGTCCTGTAGTGAGTCTCCCAGTACTGTGGGAGGGACCAACACGATCACAAAGCCAAAGGGAGAGTGCTGCATGCAGGAGGAGGCATGGAAGCAAAACAATGGTGAGAGTACCACAGCCACTGTTCCATTACAGCCAGGAAATAATCACACTCTTAACACAGCCATTACAAGAAAGCCAAATTATAAACACACACACCACAAAACGGATTGAGGACAAAGCTACCGCACACTCAAGCCTCTTTCTGTCCTGTTATCTTCCTGTGTTCTTGAAGATACTCAGGTCTATCTGCTCTATGGGGTGGAAGACTATACACAACAGGGCGTCACTGTGTGTGGCTTCCCAATCTCGCTCCAGGGACATGCTGCTGGCACGTTGAAGGTGGCAAGGAGGGAGTATTTGCATTGTCAAAGTTACTCAACATTAGAAAGGGGGCTTTGCCTGTGTGGAAGTTGATGATCACGCACCTGGTACACCACCAGGTTAAGAGTGCTCAAGCACACAGCTCAGGGTGCCAATTTCCCAGTGCAGAATTCCCACTGATTCTCAGAGGCCTACAGGACAGGCTGAGCTGCTCTCATTCTATCCATCAACTTGCTTTTTACTTCCATTTTTTTTTCTTTTTAAAAAGATTTATTTATTTCATTTGAAAGCCAGAGTTACAGAAACAGAGAACACTCTTCTATCTGCTGGTTCACTCCCAGGATTAGGTCACAGTCTATGCCAAGGAGAAAAGGCTGGGCAGAGGTAATGAGGGTTCTAACCTGAGAGTGGCTGAGCTCATCTCCCAGTGGTGAGCCAGCCCTACTGGGATAAGCTTTTAGTGTGGTGTCTGGAGGTGATTCTGTCCCGTGCATGGTCCCCACGGAGCATGCCATCACAAACTCCACAGCTGCCAACAACCTGAGAGCTTGGGAGAGGCCACCAAGTCTTGCTCGAGACAAGAGTCCCAGCTGATGACTCCAGTGCTAGCCGAGGATTCATCAAGCCAGTATTGAACACCGGACTCATAGCAATGTAGTGTTCTGAGGGTTGGTTGGCTTGTTTTATCTTTTAAAAGATTTATTTAGAGTCCAGCACGATGGCACAGGGGTCAAATCCTATCTTTGCATGTGCTGGCATCCCATATGGTTGCTGGTTTGTGTCCCTGATGCTTCACGTCCCATCCAGCTTGCTGCCACTGGCTAGGGATGGTAGTGGAGGATGGCCCAATGTTTGGGACCCTGCACCCATGCGGGAGGCCTGGAAGAAGCTCCTGGATCCGGGCTTCAGATTGGCTCAGCTCCCGACAATGCCTCACCTGGGGTTTGATCCAGTGGATGGAAGATCTTGCTGTCTGTCTTTTTAAGATATATTTAGAAGTCTTAGTGAGAGAGAGGGGGAAGAGAGACAGACAGAATATGTTCCAAGTGCTTGCTGGTTCACTCCCGAAATGGATACAAAAGCCAGGGTTGAGCCAGCCTGAACCCAGGAGCCCAGAACCCTATCTAAGTCTTCCACATGAGTAGAAGGGCCCACGGCACTTGGGCCATCTTCCCCTGCTTTCCCAGGTGGATTAGCAGGGAGCTGGATGAGAAGCAGAGCAGCTGGGGCTTGAACTGATGCTCCTAGGGATGCCAGAGTCACCCTGTGGCATAGACACTGCACCACAATGCTGATCCCTAAACACATTTTTAAAAGATGCCAAGTCTGTGGAATTTGCTACAGAGAAACAGAAAACCTTTTGTATTCGAATACACTCATTTTACCATAAATGAAGAGACTGAGGCCCAACAAGGGATTATCTCATTGCATCCAGCTGGTTTCTAGCAGAGCTGGTGCTAGAATGAAAATTCCCAAGCTGCTAGTATATCATGCCACCTCTCAGTCAGTCATTCTTATGCAAGGGGTTGCAGGGAGCTGCAGCAGGGTGAAAGCAGGACCAAAGGCAGATGTACGTGTGAACTTACTGGCGCCACTGAGCTTGGAAGGTCACGTTTGTAAGCACGTAATCCCACTTAAGAACATAGTTGTGATTTTCAACATCAACTTGTACATTTTCCGGTGGAGGCAGTTTATATTCCACTAGAAGTCAAAGAATATGTTCAAAAAGCATACACCGTTTCCCTAGCGAGACAACATATGGTGACATTCCTCACAGGCACACCTTCCAGGCATGCGTTCTTATCGTGACTTTGTAATCACGAAGAGAGTTAAGGCTCACACAGTGTACTACAGCGCAGCTGGCCACGCATCTCTCTAGAAAGATATCCACTGCAAACTGGGTTAAATAGACAAGTCTTAAGATAAACACACCTAGCAGGACCCCCGTTGTAAATAAAAAACCACATGCTTACATGTGTACATGTTTATATAAACCCTGATAAAAAGCATGGAAGGCTATACACAAACTGCTAGGAATGCTTACTTCTGCTAATCAGAATGGAGGAAGACAGCAGAAAGAAACTGTGTCTTAAGTCCTTTGTATTATTTGATTTTAAAAATAAAAGCACATTAAACTTACAACAGATAAAAGTCAACTGCCATCGTGGACCTAAATTATTGGAATGATGGCACCGATATAGAGATGCTGGCATGTTTTAACATTTCACTTGTAGAGGGTTGCTTTCTGGAAGGAATTATCTGCCCCTTTTTATGGATTCTGTACCGATAAAACCAATTTCTGCCATTCGGAAACCTCTGGAAATCTAAACAAAATTCATTTCCATTGCTATTTACTTGAGACAAAAATTACCTAACACGTTGGCTTACGTGAATGCTAAACAATGGTTTTGTTTGAATGTTTACTAACCCATCACAAGAATCTCAGCAGTTACGGGGAAATGCTGACACTGCCATCTGGCCCGTGCCTGAGCTATGGACATGGAGAGAGGCCTCCTCCTCACCTTTGGTCATCGCACAGTAGATAGGGCTGTAGATGCCCAACTTTCTCGGCCTATGGTGCTCTGCCCTCACTTTTAGACAGTAAGTAGTCGCCGGTGAGAGTTCATAAATTGTATCTCTGGGATAAACCGTTAGATTGTTGTTCTAGTATTGAAAAAGAGAAATGCAATGTCAGAATTAAGTGACCTCATTTTCTTCTCACATCAACGAGGGTGAAGTTAATGCTTACTTCTGTGCTTGAAGAGTTTTTCCAGATAACCACGCGGTATTTAAACCATGGGCTCACTGTAAGCCACATGTTTCCCGTGGGAGGCGTGATGCTTATTATTATTGCCTTATATTCAGCTTCTAAGTGTACTTTCGGAGGACCAATCTGAGCTGTAAAAATGGAAACAATTCCTGTGTCACTCTGTTAACACAGTGCCAAGACACTCACTCAACAACAAACCCAAGCACTTCTCCGTTCCTGGCCTAGTCAAACAGAGGGATACGCTGGGGAGCCTAAGTTTCTGGGGGTCTGTGGCAAAAAGATTCTGGGCCTCGACTACCCATGTGGGACCCGGGAAGAAGCTGCAGGCTGGAGGCTCAGTGTTACAGCATTCATGCAGAGTGAACCAATAGGTGGAAGAGCGGCTCTGTTTCTCTCTCTATAATTCTACCTCGCAAATATAGAGTTGGCGCTGGACTACAGTGCAGTGAATTAAGCCATTGCTAGCAGTCCCCTTTTTAAGGGTCAAAGAATAGAATTTCTATTTCATTTGGGTTAACTACAAATTATTTTCTTTTTTTTTAATTCACGTGAAAGGCATAGATATTGAGTGAGTGAACTGTGCATGGGAAGGATGAAGGGAAGGAAAAAAAAAGGAGAGAAAAGGAGGTAAGAGAAGAAAAGGGAAAGAGAAGAAGGAAGGGGAGATAGAGAGAGCTCGTCTGTGAGTTCAGGCCTGAAACAGCCAGGGCTGGTCAAGGCTGAAGCCAGGAGTCAAGAACTGGGACTCCCATGTGGGTGGTAAGAGTTTACACACTCGGGCCATTTTCCCCTGTCTCTCCAAGCACATTAGAATGGAGCGGTACTGAAACACAGCAGTTGGGACTCGAACTAGAATTCAGACATGAGATGCTGGGCTCTGCAAGCAGTAGCTTAATTCACTGCACTGTAATGCCAGCCCCTCTCTACACTTGAAAATCACTGAGGCTCCTAGAAGCTTTTGTTCATATAAGTGTGTGTCTTTAGGTATTTAACATGTGAAACATAAAAGCTTGTAACATTTACAGTAGTTATGAATTCATTCAAAATAACAGTGATAAACCCATTACATTGTGGCAAATATTTATTATAGAAAATATAGCTTCTTTTTTTTTCAGTTTCAGAGGGAGAAATCTTATTTGTGAACCAGTGACAGTGAAGAGAAGGAAGGACGGAGACAGCACCTCTGGAAGGGACCCGGGAGACGGGGTGTCCCCGAGAGCAGAGGGACACTGGGGAGGGGGTTCAGGAAGGTCTTGGGGTCTTAAGAGCTCCCTGACTCCTCTTTGTCTGGTGGAAACCTGCAGAAGACCTTCCCCATCGGTGCCCTCTAACCAATCAGAACATGGTTGGCCATTTCCTGTGTTACCCACCCGCAGGCATCAGAGAAAGTAGTATCTACATTAACAGAAACTTTGGTGAGACAAGTGGTGTGGTTTTGTATTTAAAAAAGAAATCTATTGAGAGTCTAGATTTATAAAGAAGACTGCTGGATTTCACAATCACCTGTGCACTCTGTACCCTGTCACATATTAAACAGTCTCCTTAGGAAAAAATGACAGTATGGATGCAAGACAGAATCAAATGAAAAGAAGTGATCATGAAAGAAGTTTTGTTTTTACAAATACCCTGCAAGGGTCCTGGGGACTGACCATGCTTTGAGAACCATCACTACTCAGAAAGCATTGAAATGGTGCCATATCCTGAGGTGGCTGTAAGTTTAAGGAAATTTTTGTTCCTAGACCACGCACATGAATACACCTGGAGAGTGAAGTGGTCTGGCAGTGTTTACTACAGAATCCATACACTTCAGCCAGTGACTGTGTCTTACCTTTGAGAAACGGAATAAATGAGTCCACAATATGCCACGCAGAAGTGCTGTTGCCTCTCTCTGCTCTTATACGGAATTTAATGTCATCAAAAACATTCAAGTTGGGCAAGGAAAAGGTGCATGAGGTAGCAGTAATATATTGACAGCCGGGCAATTCTATCCAGTCATTCATCTCAGACCTTTAAAGCAAAAACAGCAAATGAAGGAAGGAGCAAGTGTGTCAGAGCAACAGTGTCAAATCCACGTCTCATTTACTGCTCTGAAGCTTGTTTACATGGTTATCTCTTTACTTGAGTTAATGTTCTGTTGCCATTTCAGTACATACCCTTTCACACAATTTCAGGGTTACTTGTAAAATGGAATGACTAAGACACACAGGTTTCTTTCCCCTCTAAGTACTTACTTATTTCTTTGAAAGGCAGAGTTACAGAAAGAGAGAGAGAAGGAGAGAGAATCAGATCTTGTGTGTGCAGGTTCACTCCCCAAATGTTTGCAAGTCAGTGCTGGGCCAGGCTGAAGCCAGGAGCCAGGAGCCCCTTTAGGGTCTCCCATGTTGGGAGTAGGGGTTTCAAACACCTGGGCTGTCTTCTGCTGCCCTCCCAGGCCAGTAGCAGGGAGCGAGATCGGAAGTGGAACAGCTGGGCCTGGAATCAGAGAGCCCATATGAGATGCCAGCACTTGCAGGCACTAGTGGCGTAACCCACTAGAACACAATGCCAGCCTTACATGGTTTTTAACACAGCTCTGCCTATCAGTTTGTTCCAAGAGGATCTGAAGGAAGCAGATGACCCATAAAGCCAAGGCGGATTTCGTGCTGGTTTGGCTAACATCTTTGTGTGACTTCTGGCAAACTACTTCGTGATTCTGGGTCTTGTCTTCCTTATTGCCACCCCCACAGGGTCTGACGATTGCCTTCGGAGGGCCTCCTGGGGACTCAGACCCCCTCCTATTTAGGGTGGTTTCAGGGTTTCCTCGGCTTCTCCCAAACCAACCAGCTACCTCTTGGACTCTGGGATTCTTTCTCTTATACCACCAGAATTTCAAAAAACCAGAATCAACTTAGAATGATGACGGATGCATTCCTCAATGTACTATGGCCAATCAGAAAACATTTAACTGACATGAAATTGAGTCCTCTTCTTCAAATAGATGAAGAAATCAAGGTTAGCATGAAGGGTTTACCTACGTTTGATAATCTGCTGAAAAAGTCACATTTGGGATTATCTCGTTGGTCCTGTTCCACTTCAGGGTAAAGTTGTCATCTATGATGTAAACTTGTCCATGCTGGGGAGATTCCAGCTGATGTTCATCTATAGGACGGAAAGATGAAAATCATTATATATACACTGTAGAACTATTTTTAAGAATGTCACTCTTGGGCCCAGTGCAATGGCTCAGTTGGCTAGTCCCCTTACAAGCGCTGGGATCCCATATGGGTGTCAGTTGGTGTCCCAGCTATTCCACTTCCCAGCCTGCTCCCTGCTTGTGGCCTGGGAAAGCAGTTGAGGATGGCTCAAAGCCTTGGGACCCTGCACCTACATGGGAGACCCGGAAGAAGCTCCTGGCTTTGGATCAGCTCAGCTCAGGCTATTTTAGCCATTTGGGAAGTGAACCAGCAGATGGAAGATCTTTCTCTGCCTTTCCCTCCCTCCCTCTGGAATCTGCCTTTCCAATTACTTTTTAAAAATTTGTTTAAAAGAATGTTACACTTAATAGATACATTTACTTACAGCAAAGTATATTTTCAAAGACCTTTCAAAGACTAACAAATGCTGTCTCTCCAGGGAGCCAAACTGCACCTCAGCATCTGACAGAACTGATGAAAAGTTAAGTTTTTCCTTCTACAAAGGAAGTTGTCTTGGGGCCAGTCAACCGGCTAATCCTCCACCTGCAAGTGCCAGCATCCCATATGGATGCCAGTTCTTGTCCTGGCTGTTGCATTTCTGATCTAGCTCCTTGCTTGTGGCCTGGAAAGGCAATGGAGGATGGTTCAAATCCTTGGGATCCTGCACCCACATGGGAGAACTAGAAGGATCTCTTGACTCCTAGTTTTGGATTGGTGTTAACCCCAGCTGTTGTATCCATTTGGGGAGTGTACCAGTTAGATGAAAGTCCTTCTTTCTCTTTCTGTAAAATTTGCCTTTGAAATAAATTAAATATTTAAAAATATTAAATAAAAGTATCTTTTAACCAAAGGGGGGGGGGAACCCGTCTTTATAAAAACTTGAATTTTCCTTTGATCTCTCGCATGTTACTGACACATGGTTCAACTGTTCAACTGTCTTAGTTTGGCTTCATAATCAATTTGGAGTGATGTTTCTTATACTCTGATAGACAACCAAACAGATGTGGTGTCCAGCTGGACAGCTGCTTAGTTAACAGGAGCAGGAACGACTGTGTCAGTCACGTCCTTCAGGAACACCGAAAAGGACTTGGCGCAGCTGAATTATTTATCTGTAAGCATTTCCATCTATGGATCTGCCTTCTCTATCACCGCTGCTAAGATGAAGCTTCTGCCAGCGTGAACACTTCTTTTATTAGCTTTCCTTCCTCTTATACTTGTAATACACTTTTCTTCTTCTACCACTAAAATCCTCTAAAACCCAGCTCAAGTTTGACTCCTTAGAAAAAACAATTTCTGCAAATACTGGGCTCATGTTGACCCTGCTGTTTGCTTACATGTTGCAAAGGTTAATCGGCGTCACTGAATTTCACTCTGTAGGCGTACTTACAGCCACCATATGATTAGACTAATATTCAATTTTGAGTGGCTTCATACAGTATTTCTCTTCTTGTGACTGATTTTATTTTTCGTGCTCCCAGGGTTCACCATGTGGTAGCTAATAGTAGAAATGCCTTCCTTGTCAAGACTGGGCATGATTCCACTGAATGTGTTTGTCCCATTTTCACCAGTTCATGAACACAGGCAGCTCCTTACCAGGGACTTCCTCCTGTCATTTGCTTCTGGTTTTTATCTGTTGTGCAAAATGCTGTAACCAATACAGGCGCACAGAAAGCTCTTTGAGACACTGTTTTCAGCTCTTTTGGAATACGTCCAAGAGAGAAGGATTGCTGGATCACATGGCGATTCCACACTGAATTTCCTGAGGGATGGCTGTCCTGTTCTCCACAGCAGCGGCATCATTTTCTAATCCCACCAACAGTGCACAAGGGTTCTGACTTGCTCATATCCGGACCAACAGGCATATATATATATATATTATACGTATATATATTATATATATATATATATCAATCACCCAACGGATGAGTGCAAATATTTCATTGCAGTTTTGATTTATAGTTTTGTAATGATTAGTGATGTTGTGTTTAGGATTAAAAAAAACTCTGGTGCTTCATTGAGGAGTCTTTGTATGGGATACATGGCTTCTCTCCCTATCTTTGGGATATTTTTATTTGTTTGTTTCAAAATCTAAAGTTTGATTATAGCGTGTCTTATTGTATATCTTTGAGTGTATTTTACTTGTAGTTCTTGTGCTTCTTGGGTGTTTATATTTACAATTTTCATCACACCTGGGTAGTTTTCAGTCGTTCTTTCCTTAAGTACCATCTTATCTCTTCTCTCTGTCTCCTGGGAAATCACCTTGTGAGTGCTGGCCTGTACAACGGTACCCTTTCTGCTCCCCTAGATTCTGCTCACTTTTCCTCAGTCTCTTTATTTCTCAGGCTTACTAACTTTCACTGACCCATATTCAAGTTCACTGAGACTTTTTTCTGCCTCCTCAAATATACTTTTGAATCCCTCTAGGGAATTTTTTATGTCAGTTGTGACAGATTTTTCTTTTGATTTTTTTTTTTTTTTTTTGGCTTACAAATAAGTGCAGTATCGTCACACACTGTTTTCCTGAATTTCTTATCACTCTTTAGTTGTTTGGGCATTTTGTTTGTGTGAAAGGCTGAATGATCTTCTATCTACTGATTCACTCCACAAAGGTCCATAATAGTTGGGGTTGGCCAAGGCAGGGCCAGAGATATACCTGGAACTCTCATGTGGGCAGCATGAACTCAAGTACGTGAGCCATCAGTTTGCTATCTCCAAGGTCTATCTACATCAGCTGGAAGCCGGAAGTGAAGCACATCAGCCAGGACAGGAACCAGGCACTACTGCATCAGTTGTGGTACAAGTCCCAAGCCGCAGCTTAATTACCTGCCATTGTTTGGGAACTTTAAGACAACTGTTCTAAAGTCTTTCCCTAATAGGTGAGCCATTAAGGTCTTTTTCAGAGTCAATTTATAATGTGCTCTCACTGTTTTTTTCTTTCCCCTTTAAATGGGTGCTCCTTCTTGTTTTCTGTGTGTCTTATGATCTAATAATGTACTCCAGAGATCTGATTCTCCCTCTTCCCCAGAGGTTGCTGGGTTTTCTTTTGTGTTACTATGATTATTTTTATTTTATTTTATTTTATTTCAGGTTTCAGATTTGACTGATAGTGTTTCTTTTTAATGTATATATTATTGATTATATTGTATTATGTGACACAGTTTTATAGGCACTGGGATCCCCCCTTCCCCTCCCCAAAACCCCCTCCCATGATGGATTCCTCCACCTTGTTGCATTACCACAGTCCAAATTCAGTTGAGACTCTTTCCTTGCAAGCATCTACAAAGCATAGAGTCCAGCATCTTATTGTACAAATAAGTTCAAAGGTTTATGGGGAAACCATCTCTGGTCTGAAGGTAGAGCTGACAGAATATCATCCCAATCAAGTAAAAGCCCCGACATTACATCAGTAATAATTTATAACATAATCAAATTAGTTGACATGATATTGAGTAACCAATATGTTAAAAGAGAGAAAAAAAAAAGAGTGCAGGTTCTATGATTACTTTTAAAACAATTGTAAGCTGTCAGTGCCAAGTAACTGGTTTGAAGTGTAAACTCAGCAGTCTCTTCTGAGCCCCGCCCTGAGTATGCCCCATCACTTTCGAATTTTCTCTACATAAGCAGTTGTTCTTTACATCTGAAATGTCTGGCTGCCTAAAAAATGAAAAAGAAGAAAAATGAAGAGATAGGAGGGAAGGGGGAGAAAGGCTGTCAGAACTTCAGATCCCCTAGAAGTCACCTAGTGGGGTAGAAGAGCTTGCAGCAAAAGGGGGTTGGAGGGGCAAGTGACAACAGCCAGAAGCAGCAATCATTACTCCCAGACACTTAGATAATGGGCCTGTCGCTGCCCACCCCGGCTCCTGTGAGCTGTGACAGGTCCCCCCAGGAACCACTGCAGAGCTGCCTACCCAGAGCCAGAAAGTGGGAGACAGGAAGCCACTACTGTGCTAAGGGCTGAAGCTGATCACAGTTAGGCACAGTCTACTGACAAAGCCCTTCCTTGGGGTCAGAAACCTTCAATAAAGTTCTCAAACAGTTACATTGGGCAGACCCTTCTGCCCAGGCAGCTAGTGTCTGGGTGGGAGACACTCCACATGTTCCTTATTCTACCAGATTCCTGGGATCTACAAATGATGCATTTTTAAAAGTGCTGCCTCTTGGTGCTGAGCACAAATCTCACTCATTTTCAAGTTGTTGAAGGGTAGTGGCTATTGAACCTTGGATTTCATTGCAATTCGTCACTATTGCAATGTACTATTCATTAGAATGCTGGATCCAGCAACTAAACCTTCACAAAGGCCCTGTCATTCATTTTGATAAGCTCAAACTTTGAAGGAGAATTTCACACACCAAAGGCTGCAAAGACACGACCAAAGTGCACTGGGACACAAAGCACGCCCCCTCCTCCCTGTAAGGAGGAAAGTGGGGTATCAGGTATGACGCACCGCACAGGTGCAAGGGTTGCCTCGCAGACACCCAGGTGGAAGTTACTGGCAGCTCAGTGACCTGGAGTCCTGGCCTGCTGGGACGCTGGACACGAACTTCCCCCGAGACCGCTCCTCGTGCCCAGGTCTGAATCCAGGGAGAGTTGGTGGTTCCCCTCCTGCCTCAGGGCTACAGGTCAAGAGTGGCAAGCAAAGAGAGCAGGGGGCTCCCTTTGGGTTTATCCTCTCAGTAGTAGGTCTCCAGGGTGGGCAAACCTTGCGGCACCCAACCCCTTTCCTCCCCTGAGGCACTGGGCAGCTGTCCACTACCCCGAAGAAACGCCTTGTTTTCATCCAAACGGGCCAGTGGAGCTGAAAGATGACCTGAAGCTCTCGCAAGGGGCTCCAGGCCCAGGACGACGCCCCGGGCCGCCGCGGGTACCAACGGAACCCCTCTCTGTCCTCTCGGATGTGGAAGCCCCACAGGGTTGGCAGGCGGGCACTGCGGCCCACGCGAGCAGAAAGGCCGCCCAGGGAACTCGGCTGTGCCCTGACCGCCCCCGCCATCGGCCGAGGCCTCAGCCGCTCCCGTCCCAAGCCCAAACCTCCCGGCTCGTCCCACCTGCGGCTGCGGGCGACACCCACGGTGTCCCGACGACCAGCACCAGCGTCGTGGCGCCCAGGAGGGGGAACATCGTCCACCAGCCGCCACCACCGGCACCGCCGGTCACCTCAGGCCGACCCCGGGGAGAGGTGAGCACGAGCGGCCATCGCAGGAAACACGGGCAGGCGACAGTCCTCACAGGTGAGCGGCTCCTCCCTGCTAGAGCGTCCTCTTGGCTTGTACCGGGCGAGCGCCCTGCCCTCGGTAAGGCCACAATAGAGAGCGCACCTCTCCGCCCCTCAGCAAGTCCGGCGCCAACCACGACAGCGCCCCGCCCCTCGCTGCGACGACGCCCCACCCCAGGCGAACGCCCCGCCCCGCCTCGCCGCAGGAACTCGGCCCCAGCCACCGCTCCCCTCCCGCCGGCGCTCAGTCCTTGGAGCTGGCTCCGCCCCTCGCAAAGCCCCGCCCCACAAGTGACCCATCCTCTTGGCCCGCCCCTGCCGTGAACCTTCCCACCTTAGCGTACGCCCCGCCCCTTCTCTGCGCACTTCGGCGCACGCGCACTCGGTGGAACGTGCCGACCCTGTTGCTGTGGCATCTCCTCTCGCGCCGGGAACCACCTAGTCGGGCCTCGGCCCCCTGTTCTCCAAAGTCCGCACCCAACCTGAGGCCGGACGCCTCCTAGGAACGCCGCGCGCTGTCAGTGCGCCTGTACAGGCCGCTCGGGCCGGCATCCGCCCAGGGCTTCCCGCTGTGGTCTCGCGTGGGCGGAGGACCCGGCTAGTCCAGGTACCGAGTTTCCAGGCTGAGGTCCCTGGGCACCCGGGCTGAGGAGGCCTCTCTGGGCGGGCCAGCTCAGAGGACACCCAGCCTGCCGAGTGGGCCAAAGACTCTCTAACCCCGGCTTTCAAAGAAAAATGTAAAAGAGAAAAAAAATGTGAAGCATAGAAAGCTTTCCAATGGCCTGTTGCCTTCAGGCTTCTATGGCAAATGGCCATTTCCTGCTGCCCCAAAGCTGTGCTTGCCCACTAGTCGGAGTAGGTTGCACGTGTAATATTTAGAACAATAAGCTTAAAATAACGGAGGCAAGTGGAATAAAGGTTCTTTGTCCAAGACGGGTGTGCATAGCAAGGTTAAATGGGGCAGGGCAGATCTCAGATAGAGAATACCTACTTAGGAGGTTTCTTTTGTTTGTTTGTTTGAAGGGAACTGCGTCCAGCTCCACCCTTTTGCTTTCCACGCCTCCCTCTTCTCTTGGACCCAGGGCTTGCTGAGTGGGAAGCAGGTAGACTCGCTCCCAGGAGTTTCCTACTAGGTGCTGTGCAAAACAGATTCCCTGAAAGTGTGCTTCTTGGGAGAAGACTGGTAAACTCCTATTGTCCAGTATCATCAGGCTGAGTGGCACACTTTGGCCTCTTAAAAAAGTATTCTAAAATGTTCTGTTTCGTGTTGTTTACCTAGTTGAGAGGGATGCATGCCCCTGTGGACCTCTGATTGTGAGGGTGGTGCGGGTCAGGCATGGAGGAAGGTGGGTGGGACACGTGTTTCTGTTAGATGATGGCCACCGACCGCCCCCTCGCTGGTGGAATAATATTGGCAAGTTGTTCAGAGTTGAGAAGGAAGCTTTATTGGAAAATCTCCTGGTCCCTCTTTGCGCAGAGGGGAAGGAAGAGGGAAGTGAAAAGGGCATCTGAGATACGTGTGGAGGAGTTTTATACCCATCTAGACATGTGGGAGGGCAAAGGGGCTGCTTGTGCCCCAACTATGCAATGAATGTCCATTCAGGTGTGCCATTGGTCAACTGGAATCCTGCCAGGTAGGTGACATAACTGGCTCTTGTGGCTCCTCCTCCTGTTCCAGGCTGGAGCCTAGGAGATGCTGGGGCGGGGCAGACCAGCCTCTAGTCTCCAGTGCCCTGGGCAGCCATCAGTTTCTATTTTTTTTTTTTCCCTCCTGTGTCCACAAGAGAGGAAGGGGAGAGGGCTGCCTCTTGCTGTCCAACTACATCACAGCGCCAGGGAATGGGGAACAGACATTGGAAAGCCCGCAGTCTGGCAGAGTGTTCTGAGGGTGTTACTGCAATGGCTTGGATAGTTGTGAGAAGTTGTTAGTTGTTGGTTTCATTGCTTGTGGGTTGAAAATATCTTTCCCAGATCTGTTGGTTGACAAACTCCACCTCAGTGCAGCCACAGACTCAAAAACATGCTGCAAAGCTTGGCTGGAGGGTTGTCCAACCTGTTCTGCTTTCCACCCTCTGAGGAGGCACTTGCTGTGCCCTGCAGGCCTAGATGAGCTAGCTGTCATGTCCTCTGTTTGCGTCTGGGATGCTGTCCACTGCACAGCAACTGAGGTATCAGCAACTGAGGAGGCTCAGTCTGGATACATTCCTCCAAGGTTGAACTACATATCCTGTGTTTTTTGTCCTGTGACTGGGAATGTGAGTCCAGTGGTCCAGTTTGGGATTGCCCTGGCCCGCGGGGTCTTCAATGGAGACCTGGGGAGAGAACCGACGATTGGGCGGGAACAGGAAACACGAAGAATGGGAGCAAGATAGGAGGTCTGATCAAGCTCTGAAAACTTTATTTTCTCAGGCAGTATTTAGGCAGCACGTAAAGGCTGGGGGGGGGGGGAATTTTACAACAGGATGTGGGCCAGATAGGGCAGAGGTAACCATGACAACCGTTATCTTGGGTGAACAATTACAGGTGAAAGGTTACGAGGAAACTAGGTGAAGGATAACTGGATCTTGCATTCCAAAACCATTACATAGTGAGGAAATAACAAAATGGAGTCACTCCTGCTGTTCGGCAGTTCTCTGGTCCCTGGCAGGGGAGTACCCCAAGAAACCTCTCCTTGGGTGACCTCAGACTGACTCTGGCCTGGACCAGCCAGTGCAGGATCAGGTTCAGTATTGTCAGCTGCACCAGCCAATACACATATGGGGGTGGATGCAGCTGTCTGGTCAGTCCTGCCCCAATTTCTTACCTCATGTGAACTGACAGGTGCTGTGGAGAGCCCAGCCAGCCCACTACTGTCCTGGTCCTCACACATACCAGTGGGTGCTGTGGCCTAGTTGGGGCAGTCCCCAATAGCTCCCACCAGTCCTCTAGCCCCAGTTTGTGTGCCAGCCTCTGCTTCCTGCCTCCCATCTGGCTCTGATGCACACCAGTAGGTGTTGTGGCTTGGCTCAGCCCATCCTGCCCCCAGATTCAGCTCTCATCTTTGTGAACAGGTGTCATCCCCTTGTCTAGCCTGGCCTGCCCCCAGTCCTGGTTCTTGTGTTTACCAGAGGTAGGTACAGCCTAGCAGGAAAGTGTCCACAGTTCCCCTGCCAGGCATGGGCCCAGCTCTGGATCTTGCAGCTGACAGGGGTACTGCAGGCCATCTTCACATGACTTGCACTTGTTCCTGGCATTTTTCTGCTGGTGCTGAGGCACAGCCAGGCTGACCCACACCCATTCTGGCTCTCATGCATGCCAGTGGCTACAGCAGCTTGGCTGCACCTGGCCTGCCCCTGGTCTCAGCTCTCAGGGTCATCCTTGGAAGCAGCAGCCCAGCAGGGGAGTTGCTGTGGTTCCCCTACTAGGCTCCCTCCCACCCCTAAGTTTTGCAGCAGTTGCTTTAGTTCAGGTTGAGATGGGCCACCCTCAGTCTTGGCATGTGCCATCAGGTGCTGCAGCCTGGCTCAATGTAGTCTATCCCTCGTTCAGCTCTTGCAAGCAGGTGTAGCAGTGCAGCCCAGCCCAGCCTGGCCTACTGCACGGCATTAGCCCTTTTTTTTCTGGCTTGCATCGCTAGTTTTTTCTTTTATTTATTTATTTTTTAAATAATTACCTTGCATTATGTGACACATTTTCGTAGGCTCTGGAATTCCCGCAACTCCTCTGCATACTCTCCCTGCATGGTGGATTCCTCTACCTGTTGCTGTATTACAGTTGAAATTCAGTCAGGATGGCTACTACCCTCTGACTGAGGCCTCCAAAATGTTACAACGTGCACAAAAGATCATATCAGATAAATTTAAGATTTATTAATGAATCTTTAGAGATTTAATTTTTTTTAAAATTTTTTCATTGGAAAGGCGGATATACAGAGAGGAGAGAGAGAGAGGAAGATCTTCCGTCCGATGATTCACTCCCCAAGTGAGCACAACGGGCCGATACTATGCCGATCCGAAGCCAGGGCCGTCCTCGACTGCTTTCCCAGGCCACAGGCAGGGAGCTGGAAGGGAAGCGGGGCTGCCGGGATTAGAACCTATGCCCATATGGGATCCTGGGCGTGCAAGGCGAGGACTTTTAACCACTTGCGCCACCGCGCCGGGCCCTATTAATGAATCTTTAGAAACGAAGCTTGGTGATGGCAGTGCTCATTAAAATTTAGTAAGTGAAAAGTAAACAATGATAATTCAGTCCAAATAGTGACCCTGCAAGAAAAAAAATTGGTCATACTGAAGACCCTGACTCAATTATCCTAGCAATATAAATTAGCTAAAGAGATACACAGTTAACAGTGTGGACATATTTACAAAACTATAAACATTTATCTTTTTCTGGCTTTTTGGCCTGCATTACATTATTGTTAAGCATTATCTGTTCTATAACTTTTGGAAATACAGAAATTTGAATTCAAATTCTGTAAAAGATTTTTTTTTCCTGTAGTAGTGTTTTGATACGACTAGTTTTGCTCTACTTGGCTTCTGACAGTATCTTTAATCCAAAAGCCTATTCAGTTATTGTATTATGAAATGAAATTTCTGAATTATTTAGAATCCTATCAGGGATGCTAAGACTTACAATATTTAATTGAAATAGAATCTCTTTATACAACACAATATAGATTAAAGTATTGGTATTAAGTGATCACTTAAATACCTATAAAATAAATATATAACTTTTTTCAATCTTAAGCAGTATGAACATACTGTAAGTCAGAAAACACAAATATCACCTTGATACCTCGTTATAGAATCTGATATTCTGAGACACTTCAGCAAAGTCAGGTCTGGAGTTCATTGGAGCTAACTAGAAAAATTTATTCATTAGGTAGATAAAGACATTTAAGAGAAGATGTTATAATGACGTGATTTTA